GAAATTGCACTTACTTTACACAAGCTTTTGTTAAAGTGGCAGCACAGCAGAGGGCCTAATTAATCCATTACCAGGCCCTAAGGAATAAATTAAGTTGAGGCCGCTCAGATCTTCCTCCAGAAACAGAACATGAAAGGTTTTCCCCCCCAGTGAAACTTTTGGCATTTTCTCTATTAAGATTTTAAAATGCAGGATAATTGCTTTTGGTGTTTCCCAGTGAATCATGAAGTCTGGGAGAAAATAAGAAAAAGGTAAAGTAAGGCATAACAGGACTCTTAAGTAGTCTTTGTGTAAAAATTTAAAGCTCTGGAACATTCCCAGTCCTTAGACGGGCAGAGGAGTAAGTAACTTTTAATAAAATAATTTTTTTTAGTAGTATGGAAGAAAAAAAACTAGAGGATACCTGGGGAATCTTTAAGTTAAATCCCAGACAAGTCTGGCCCTTTTAAAAACAGCATAGGGACCCTACTAATTGGGAACCTGTTTAAGATGAGTCTAAATGTGTTCCTCCTTTTGAGCCACCACTGTAATTTGCCATAATTTTATCAGCTTGTAGCTGTCCAAGATAAACACCGGTGTCCACCTCCGCCCACCATCACACACTATAATTGTCCATTTTGTAAGCGATAGGCATGTCCAAACATTTTCCCTGGAAGTTTTATCTCTTTACCGATTATTTTGGAATCTTCATGTGTTTAAAATGTCGGATAGAATATTCCAGAAATAGAATTCCAAGTTAAGTCAATTCAGCGACGCCATAAAGATGCAACCTTTTTTTGTCCTGCAAGAGAATGAAGGACATAAACAATGGGCTGAGACTTTCCCAGAACAAAAGTCCCTCTAACCTGAATGTTAAAGCTTGTGTTCTGAGCAGGCATTGTGATTTGATCCCACAAATCAGCAGAAGCAATCTCTGCACCTCACTTCAACTTTGCCAACCTACCGGAGCCTCATTGTTCTGCAGCAATTTCCAACCTCAGAGGAATTCCTCCTCGAGGAAATATGGCTAACAAGAAGCCCAGCCACTTATTCACACCCTTCACCCTTCTGGCACTGTCTGATCAGTGATCCTTTTCCCTTTCACCCCCTCTAGTAATATTCAGCCTGCTTCCGTCCCTGCTGGTACTCAGACCCTCGTCGATTTGGACACCCAGTGGCAGCATGGAGGGGGGCCGGCTCCCCTCTGACCTCTAGACACACAGAGAATTGTGTGGCTCCTAAATGACTCGTGTTTGGGAAGCTTGGGGATTGTTATTGCCCCGATGAGATTAAAGCCTGCCATGTGACCCCTCTCCACAGTAGGGCTCGTCTTTGATCATCCTCAGTGTTTTCTACAATTCTCTCCAGAAACTCCATGAAGATATTTCTCTCTCAAAGTCTAATCTCATCCAACAGCATCAGATAAGGTATATTAAAACCACTCCAACTTATGCAAATCCGAGGCGTCTCTGCAAACATTCCCACTCACATGGATGTCACCTATAAAATTAATCTCTGCAACAGCACAACGGGGGAGATAAAGGGAGGGGTAGCTGCATTCCCACCAAAACTATCTGTTATCAATGCCAGAAAGACCTCCATTCTCTCTGCTGCTCTCCTTTGCTCTGATTGGAAACATCTGGATGGCTGTGGCAGAGGATTTAATGAAGATATTTCTTCATTTCTTAAATGCTGCCCTGAATACTGAGCATTCTACTTCTAAAATGTTTCCAGGCCACCTGGCTTGGGTGTGAAGCCATTAAGAGGACATTGCTTTTTTTTAAACAATGCAGTGGCAAGCCAGGTGTTAACTGCATTTGTGCTAATGGTTTCCATTCGAGTCCACCTGCGATGTCCTTGGCAGAGTTTGCACCATATGGATCTGATGAGATGGGAAATGCTTTCTTCTGTGTTGCAAGAGGTATAATTATGTTAGGCAGTTGTAATCCTGCAGAAAACAGGAATCAGCAACTTTGGTGTGAAAAAAAAAAATAGTAATCACACTGTGTTGAGATGCAGAAGTCTTTATTGAAGCTTTCCTTAATTTTTTGAATATATCGACAGAAAATGGTTGTTGAAGTAGTAATGTGTTAATTTAAAATTCAACTAAGCTAGAAATACTATGCAAAGTATGTTCATCTTTAAAACTTTTCACCTATTCATTACAGCATCTAATATTAAAGCATTTTAATACTAGTCTCTAAATGTAGAGGGGATTGTGCATTTGTGTTCAGGCATCTATTTTGATACTTTGCAAAAAAAACCTCTGCTCCAGATGCTGTCTTTTAGGGTAAAGCTCTTCCAGCTTTGTGCATCAAGAAACTTCAGTTTTTTGCTACCTCCTTTTCCTTTGCCAAACAGCTGAAATTCAGTAAGATCAGATTAGGGAAGTGTCTAAACGACCTGACCCAGCCTCGAATCTTTGGGAAACCAAACAGTTTTTTAATTTTTTTATTCTTTTTTTAGGTTGTTTTTAAATGAATCCAACTTCCAAAAAGCTCTCATCCTTATTTTCTGTTCTTGCTGAAAAAGTCACCACCACATTATGATGCCCCCACCACTGTGTTTCTGGGTAGGGATGGTGTTTTGGAGATGATTTAAAGGGTCTGCTTTTTTGACTACATTTTGCGCCAACAAGACATAAAAAAAACATGTATAGGCCGTTTGCATAGGTGGACCAAAAAATTCAATTAAGGCCTCAGATGACTACATTTGACCTTTTCCTACATGTTTAATATTATGGCCTTTGCAAAATAATGAATTTTTTTCTAAACAAATTCTACTGCTGCCTAAATCACCTCCTAATGACGCTGGTTACTGCTTTGTAAAATTGACAAAATCACCAGTTGAGTAAATTATTGATTTACACCCCTGCTTTATTTATCCCCTGAGTCAAGAGTGTGACTTATTTTTTATGATTTATTTTGTGTGTGTGTGTGTGTGTGTGTGTGTGTGTGTGTGTGTGTGTGTGTGAGACTATTGAAACACCTGAAAAAATGCCTTAGGTCATTATTTTAAGAGTGTGATGATATGTCTCTTTTCTGGCTTATAGGAAGGGAGTGTTGGCCTAGTTGTCAGAGCAGTGCACTTGTGCTCTGAGAAGATTGTATTCACCCGGTTCGATCCCCATAGCCTGCATTCTGGGTCCCTGAACAAGACCCTTAACCCCACACTGCTCCCCAGATGCCCCACAATGGCAGCCCACTGCTCCCCAAGGGGATGGGTTAAATGTGGAGGTAAATTTCTCCAGTGTGAGATCACTTAAGTTCAATTATTAAAGGAGCCTTAAACACAGTGTCTAGTTTTATTATTGCACAAATTGTTTTAGGTGACTGCTGAATATAGCTTGTTTGTGTTGTTGTTGTTGTTCTTTTTTACTTTAATTGGCAGCTTCTGGATTACAGACGGCTTCTCAAGCACGGGGAAGAAAAGGATTTGAAACAACATGAAGTTTGTGGAATTTAAATGTGCAGGGGTAGAGCTAGATGGGGGGGCCAGGCCATGGCCCGCCTTAGCCAATTATTGGCCACCCCTGTGGCCACCCCTACCATTTATTTCCCTCTAATACAGATGGTGGCAACAGTAATACTTTGTGGTGGAATATTCAAAACATTTAAATTTTTCATTTATTAACAATTACTTGTCAACAAAAACATTGTGGTTAATTATGCACATCAAAATATTAACCTCAAAAATGATAAGAAGAGAATCCATGCTCTTTTCAGAAATAGATTTTTTGTTTTAAGGGGTAAAGAGAAAATGATGCATCTCTGCAAGTCATCTAGGAGTCTTCAGTAAAATCACAAGTAAATAACTAGATTAGTAAAAACTTATTAAATAATCAATTTATGTAGATATTAGTAATTGTAAATATCAAGTTTATGCAGAATGATTACTGATAAAAGTAGGTAAGTAATGCCAATGGAAAAGATTTTCGCCCAAAACTCAACCTTGAAAGGATTTTATGCACTTTACCTTTTATCTAGAAAGCAGGCGTGTTTTAAATAGAAAAATTTAAATATTTGTCTATTTGTTAGCAAAGGCTGTAGGAAAGAATAGCTTGTCTTTATTTAGAAAATATGGATGTTTTGCTCCTTAATGTTCCTGCTGGAACAGTGTAGATTAAGCCTGAGGTTCTGGTGCCTATCTTCTTTCGGCCACCCCTCAGTCGTCATTGGTTACTGACTCGCCACCCGTATAAAAATCTTCTGGCTACATCCTTGTCAGACCAATATCTGTGTGACCTGGCTGAAAGATTATGAGCCTCAAACATCCCATAGATCAAAGCGGAGCAACATTTTTAATGTCACACTAGGAAAGAGATGTTCATCAAAGGCCTGCAAGACAACTGATAAGATAACCAGCATGCAGGGATGTTGGTGCACCAGTGGCGGTTGAATGAAAAGAATGAAATATAAAACAGGGCAAGGGATTCAAATATAGTAATATAGCTGCATGAATTGAAATTTCTATTCAATTAGGTTTAATTAAAGTTCTATGTCTTGTTACTGTAGGTCAATATACATTAAGAATTTAGAAATTTTAAATATTTTTGACTTAATTTAAGTTAATAATGAATGTTTTCTATAAAATTTTAATTAGAACTGATACATTACAACTGATTAAAAACTGATAAACTCAGCATTTTTTTGTTTTGAAAAAAAAAAAAAAAACTTTTAGCAGGTGAAAATTGGGCTCCTATCTCAATACCACTGAAGCTATCACCTTATTGTTTTTAAAAATAATTAATAAAACAGAAATGTTAAAGAAAAACAATGAAATAGATCCAGTAACCATGTCTGTTCCATCGCATATCATCATTATAATTTCTCTGAGTATTAAGCCTTCAGTACAGGGGCCATAACAGGGCACTGGCCCCCGTTGGCTCCTGTCTAGAACCATCCATGTGGCGCACCATGCACATTAAGCCGCCTGCTTTAAATTGCTTGTTCCTCGTGGGATAATTGATCAGATGGAGTAAAATGCGGGCTGTTTGCATGCATATCTGCAGCAGCACTCACCGAGAGGAACTCCAGGGTTCCCACATAATCCCGTTCAGTCTTCAGAAGTTCATTTAGGACGCAGACGCGCAGCCGGAGCTGCTTCTCCAAATCCTTTCCGCTTTCTGCTCTGTGCTCGTTTCTGGTCTCTTCTGTCATCCTGGGGGAAAACTTATGTGGATGTTGGAGAAAAATAATAAAAATGTCGCTTCTTCTTCAGGAGGTCACTGTTTCACGCCAGCAGGTTGAGTTCAGATGCGCCAGAGGAGAGCATGTTCAGAAGCAACCGGTGTCTGCGATTTAAAGCCCTTAAAAAGTCCCGGAAAAATGTCCGAATTGAGATGTTTAGGAAAGTGGAAAATAAAAGAAAGTTTTTAAAGAGGAAGAAAGAAATTCCCACAGTGTTTGTGTCTGAGGAGAGAAGATGAACTGATTAAAAGTTGAGTGCATGTGACTCTTGAAATCCTTCATCCTACTCCAAGATCCCAACAGCTTTAAAAGTAGCGGACTAGTGTGAAGTAAAACGCTATGTGGCCTACAGCTTCCAATTGACTTTTTCAAAATAAAGGCCCAACAGGAAGTTCAATTATTAACTGCTCATTGCCCATCGGTGGGCCCTGTGAACCAAGAGGTTAAAGTTTTGATTTTAAGTTTATTCAAAGCGCGCAGGAAATGAATAATTAAAACCTTTCACCATATATAATTGCTGTAGTAGGCTTAGAATGTATGCTTTTAAAACGGATAACTACATTATCCCGAAGGATTTCAGCTATCTCTGCAGATCTTGCCAATTTAACAGTGTTAACATTTTATTTCTTCAGATATATAGTACAGGGGCGTAGCCAGAACATTTTTATCAAGGTGTCCAGGCACTAACCAATGTATACTGAGAGGGGGCCAAAAGTGGATAGGCGCCAGAACCTCAGGGTCAATCTACGCTGTTCCAACAGGAACAAGCACAACTTCCATTCTAAATAAAGACAAACTTTAGTTTTCTACAGCCTTTGCTAACAAATAGACAAATATATTAAAAAATCAGTCTAGATAAAAGCTATATTGGATAAAATCCTTTCAGGTTTGAGTTTTCGAGCAAACATCTTTTCCATCATCATTACTTACCTAAATTAATAATTAGGTTTTTATTAAAATAGTTATTTACAGTATCTATGATTTCACTGAAGACAGTTAGATGACTCGCAGAGACACATCGTTTTCTCTTTATCTCATATAACACAAAATCTAGTTCTGAAAGAGCATGAATTCTGTACTAATCATCTCTAATGTTGGTATATTAAGGTCCATAATTAACCACAGAGTTTTTGTTGTCAAGTAATTGTTAATATATAAAAATTATATTGTTTTGAATATTCTACTTGAGAGGAAAAAATGGTAGGAGTGGCAACAGGGGTGGCCAATGATTGGCTAAGGGTGGCCATGGCCAGCCCTGGCCCCCCATCTAGATCCACCCCTAATATAGTACACCTAAAAATGTTGAGTCAGTGATCAGTTCCTTTCTCCAACCTTTTCTAATGTACTTCACAGATCAGGTCAGACAGTCTCTGTTCATTTACACTGCAAAAATGATCTAGAAATAAGTATACATTTCTTAAATTAAGTGTACTTACCATTAATTTGAGTAGGTAAATGACATGATTTGCCAATGGAATGAGTATTTTTACTCCTAAAATAAGATATTTAGATAAAATGCATTTGGAATAAGACAATGCAATTGCGTTTTCGTATTTTTTATGTAAATTGTCTTGTTCCATAGGAAAGTTCTGAGTTTGAGCCCCACTCCCACAGACTGCCACTCTGGCTCCCTGAGCAAAGACCTTTTACTCCCACGCTGCTCCCTGGCCGCCGCACAATGGCAGCCCACTGCTCCTCAAGGGGACGGGTTAAATGCAGAGATTTTCGTTCCTCTGTACTTGTGACAGTCTAACGACAATAAAAGCTGGAGAAAAAAAGGAAATAGTGGATTATACATAAATAGTAAAATGTTGTCACTGTAATTGTGCTCATCAGTTCAATTAAAAATAGCAAAGGATAGTCAAATTATGTTCTTTTTGTTTAATTTTGAATAAAATCTCCAAAATGTCCTGAACTGTGTATTTGAAAAAAAATTGGAATATGTTTGTATTGGAAAACAATTTAATATTTCTAATGATGACTTTAAAACTGTATTCACATTTCTAATATGGACTACATTTTTTATATATTTTTCCTTATGTTATTTTTTAATCATAGCACTAAAATCCTATAAAAAGGACATCTAACAGCCTCAAACAATCGAAGCCAATCAGTTATTCACTGCAGCATTACATGAGTTTCCATTTTCATCCAATCAAATAGCTGTTCTAGTTAAGCAGATAAAAACTTTTATTAACCAAAGAAAATTAGCATTGATTTAGACTTTCATGCAATATTTTATTTAGTTTAAATGCTGATTATCAAAGTGAGCTGTGTTCATGATCAGTTAATATGTAAAAGAGGGTGTCATCTTTGCACATGAAGTGGTTTTATTGGTGTGTCCAGACCATGAACTTAAGCTTTCTCTGAAGCTCCAAAGATACAGCAGGGAGGGTGAGAGTCAGTTCTTCTAAGTTAAAGACTATGTGACTGGAGTTTATATTCTGCTTCAAAAGGAGTTCAAGTATTTTGGCTTCTTCATACAAGATGGTAGGATGGAAGATCTACAGGAATCCAAGCTCTGCGTCTGTAATAGAGATACACCAAAAGTTACTGCTCCACAAATCTGCCAGCCCTTATCTATGGTTATTAGATAAGAACACCAGATACAATCAGATTAAAAACAAATATTTATTGTGGAAAAAAGGTAGAATGGTTCTGCACTTCCCCAATCGTGGGCCTGTTGTATCGACCAGAATGAGCGGGAGAGGGTTGCAGGGGGAAGGATCCATGTGTCAGGATTTGGTTGTGGTTTGTCGACCCAAATGCAGGGCAAGGAGGCAGAGGTGATTTTCTTGTGGGTTTAATGAAAGGTTTGTGAACACAGAGGCAGGAAATCCAAAATGAAAACATGAAAACAAAGTCAAAACTAAGCAGAAACCAAGGAGACATCAGGGGGTAGTGATGGGCTATCTGAAGCCAGGCTTCGAGGCTTGTACCGAGTAATAAGGGGGCGTGTCAATGAAGCCCCGCTTCGAGGCCTGTGTTGTCTCGTTGAAAACCAGGTGACTGGCAACAAACATTGCATTGGTCACGTGACTGCTTCATTTTGCGTGTCGGTTTTCAAAATAAAAGCGCGATGAATCCTGTTGCTTCGTGGGTTGTTGTAGGTGCTTTGGTATCAGCAGAACAGTTTTCTTCAGCAGTGGTTGAAATGGAGCCGTCAAAAAAAAAGAGAAAAACCTCTCATATGTGGGAGTATTATGAGATGACAAATCACAATAAGGTTTGTATAATGTTTACACAAGATCTGACTACATTTCCCTCATTAATAGCAACGTTGTGTTAAGCAGTGGTTGAAATGGAGCCGTCAAAAAAAAAGAGAAAAACCTCTCATATGTGGGAGTATTATGAGATGACAGATCACAATAAGGTTTGTATAATGTTTACCCAAGATCTGACTACATTTCCCTCATTAATAGCAACGTTTTGTTAACTTCCACATCCTTTTATTTCAGGTGAAATGTTTGCTGTGTGACAGGGTGTTGGTCTACAACAACAACACATCATCAATGATTAGGCATTACAGGGCCATGCATGAAAATAAGCACACTTCAGCCGACGAAGAAACCTGAAACAGGGAAAAAAGTCCTATTCCTAAATAAAAACAATTAAACCTAAAATCCAGAAATTTCTATATTTTCTTTTGTTTAATCAGGAGATGCATCAGAATCACACATCAAAACCAGACTAAAAGCCATTAGAAGAGGCAAACTCTATGTGTAACTTAATATTAAGAATCAGAACTAGAACTCCTAGGAAGAGATGATTTTAAACAAATTCTGTCTTTAAGGAAGCAAGTTTCAAGCTCAAAGTATACAGAGTCTGCAGCAACAGTCACTCAGTTCTCAATACATTAAAGTAACACATATCTTCATTGTCTAATAAGTCCATGACATAAAAGAAAACCTAACACCACCACTGATGGTCAAGGATTAGATTGGCTACAAATCATTTTAATCATTAAAACATGACAATTAAATAGTATTCTCCTCTTACTAAACATGAGTTTGATGAAAACTTTGTGACAATATTGCATTTCCTAATATTTGGAAGTATGATCCAACTGAGTAACAAGGATGTTACAGTTTCACCAGCAGATGTCACTAGTGAGAGATGAATGAAGCATCGAGTAATGAACTTTTTTCAACACTTTGCGTTGGAAAGCTTCATTGCTTCACGAGGCTTCACTTGCCCATCACTATCAGGTGGGATACTATCACAAGGAGGACAAGGAACCAATTAGACAAGGAACCAGCACTGAAGAACTGCACCGAGAGAGTATTTATGGGAGAGTGAAACAAAGGGAGGGCTAACGAGCAGATTGGGAGCAGGTGTGAACAGAGGAGAAACAGGAAGGGAGCAAGGGAAAAAGGAAGAACACAAGAGGGCAGCAGAGGGCAGCAAATTAAAACCTGAGAACTGAAAATAACCAGAAAACACAACAAAATAAGAATGAAACCACTAAAACTAGAAAACATGGAACAAAGTAAAACAGAATACACAAAAGAAAACATAACAGAACCAAGACTATAACACCATGGGTCTCTGAGTAAAAAACTATGGATAAATGGTGGGAACTTGTAGGTGCAAAAACATCATGTTAAACTGTTTTGTTTTTATTGGTTTTTTTTTTATTAAACAAAAAAACTTCCAAATATACACAGAAACAATGTGTAAGAAAGATTACTGAAGAACAGAGCAGCAGGAAGACTGCCCTCTATAGTAAAAACACAAAGAAATGTGGACTGACTTAAACTACATTACATTAAGAATGACATGTGAAATACATAATATTTTTATATTTATTCCCATGATGTCATTTTCTTTTCATCATTTTACACCTTTTTAAAGGTAAAACATTATTCACAAAGGATAATAGTGCAATTTGTTATCTGAGTTTAAGATGCAATTTGTGGAGCAGAGATGCTGAAAATGCAATCAAGACATTCATGAGTTATTGATCAGTCTGCCTAAATCCACCAGTGGAGCCTAAGAAATGAAAGTCCTCTGGAGAGAAAAACTTTAACCCAAAACAAAATATGCATGATAGCTTAAATGGGTCAAGCCCTCTTGTGGCCTATGAAGGTATCTAACTGTGAAGCATGCACAATCGATTTTACTGAGGTATTAACCTCTAATAAAAAAGTAAGATGAATGCAAAGAAACATTCTGTGTACAGAGATACAATCGGATGCATCTAAGCTCTCGAGGTCACGATACATAAATGCAACAATTTAAACATAAAAAAGTGTAGAAAGGTGAAATTTACACCTGATCTACAAGCAGCATTCTAAA